GTTTGTTCGTTTTTTTTTGTTTTTGTTTAATGATTTAACAATTGCTAAAAAAAAAAAATCGCGAAAACGTCAAAGTAATTGAGTTTTCAGAAAAAGCGTCCTACGTATCTCTTTCTTTGTTTCCTTCTTTTTTTTTTTTTTCTTTTTTATTTTTTTCCTTTTCTTCTTTTTCTCGAGAAAATTTGTCGATTGTTTGTTCTTTTGCTCTTCTTTCTTTTTCCTTTTTTTTTTTTTTTTTTTTTTTTTTTTAATCGATTTCTTCGTTTCCTTCGACAAATCTTAATTTTTGTTTCTCTTTTAAACATTTTTTTTTTTTTTAATAAAATCGTTTTTCTTTACGAATACATTTCTATATTTTGAAATATTTTTGTTTTTTTTTTTTTATTTATTTTTTCCTTTCTTCTCTTTTTATAGTTTGCGCTAGTTTAATACAAATGCTGTACTTTTTTCGTTCTGACGAATTTTACACGATTTTTTTTCCCCTTTCTCTTCCTTTCTTTTTTTTTTTTTTTTCTTAAAAAAATATTTTCTAACGAACACATTTCTATATTTCAAATTTTTTGTACTTTGTTGTTATTGTCATTGTATAATTTGCATTGGTTTAAAACAAATGTTATACCTTTTTGTAAGACAATTTTTACACGACTCTTTCTATACCATTCTCTCTTTGATATCGTTGTACGTATCTATCGTGTAAAAAAAAAAAAAAATAAAAAATAAAAAAAAGAGATCCAAATGTGTTGAGAATTTTTCGAAATGTTGGGAAATTTATTTTTCGCGAATTTTTTCATGCAACACAACGTATCGCAAGCATTCAAATAACTATTTACAAGTTGATCTTTTTATTCCTTCTGATTTAATATTGAGAATAACGATTTATCAAATAATAATGATAAAAATGATGTAGCCTATAAAAAAGTGCTTTTTTTTTTGTTTCTTTTTCTTTTTCTTTTCGATGACTGAATTATAATATATTCATGGATCATTAGAAAATAATCTTTTTCATTTCATTCTAATAACGAAATAATAAAAATTTGAATGATAATATTCTAGAATGATAATATATTATGAAATATTCTATCTTAAGGGAAAAATATATTAATAAAGTTCTTAATTATATCGAGTATTTTTCAAATTGGAAAAATAATAAGCTTTCATTCTAATATTAATAATAATTTAATTAATAATATTACGAAATTTAGCTAAAAGTAAAAAACATATCAACGAACAAAAGTAATCCATAGTACCCTAAAGTATTATTTATCCAGTTATAAAGTAATAAAGATTTTTTTTCTTCTTTCATTCTTTAAAACGATACTGTAACATAGAATTTATTTTTATTTAGATATATTCTTTTCTCGTTCAGATAGAAAATAAAAAGAAAAATTTCTTTCAATAAAAAAAAATACTACATCATACCAATCGTGACTATTTATTTGAATAGAACTTATGAAATATCTTCAAATAAAAAAATACTACATTATATTATTTATTGTCGTCATAAGATCCGTAACATTTTTAGATAAAAAAATATTACCGTTATTTATAAAAAAAAAAAAAAAAAAAAAAAGGAAAAAAAAAGAATACATTTAATTTCTGTATTTTTTTTTTTTTTAATTTTTGAAATATTTTTAAAAATTCGTCTCCTTTGAAAAAACATTTATTAATTCAGTAAATTTTTCTCTTTTTTTTAATTTTTTTTTTTTTTTTTTATCGGAAATAGAGGTCGAACGTTAAACGTCATTTCATATCGAGGATCAGAAAATCGAAAGCTTTCATTCCGATATATCCGTTAGAGATCGATTAGAGTCACTCGTATCTCCTCATCGAGATGCCATGACGATATATCGAATTTCTCCAATTCGATTTATTAATCTATATCGAGTTTCGTAATATTCGTTACCACGAATCTTTTTGTATTACTACATGCGTAGGTTATCATAGAAGCCAATAAAATCATTTGAAAGAAAATAAAAACCGATATATATGTATATATATATATATTACATATACATTAGAATTGAAAACATGAGATAATCATACTAAATAAAGGATGTATAATATAACAAAAAGCTTATCGATAAATCCTCCCTTATCGGTCGTTTATTCTGATTTTTTAATTTTTTAATTTTTTTTTTATGAATATAGATCACGAATTTTTTTTATCATCGAAATAATATCAAAATTGATCATTTGTAATTCGACAATTGAAGATTAAAATGAGAAAAGATAAAAATAAAAGAACAAAAAAAAAAAAAGGAAGATAACGATCGTCCATTCAAATTATTTTTTTCTTTTCTTTTTTTTCTGTCGAGTTCTTAAAAATATCCAAGTAAGGAAAAGTATTTTTTAGATATCCATGATGCATTTGTACGTATTTGTATATATATATATACATATATATATATATATATATATATATATATATATATATAAATGTAAGATAATTATTTTAATAATCTCTCGTACGAATGTACATAAATAAAATTTGTCGAAAAATAGAATTAAGTAATAATTAAATAGGAAATTTATATATATATATATATATCTATATGAATTTATTATTATTATTATTTTTATTATTATTATTATATTTTTTAATTATTTCACATATACTTTTTTATTTTATA